ACGCAAAGTTATACTACTTAGTCAATTATTGCCAGTTTTCATGATAAAGTAACTAATCACAAAATTTCAGTTCTCTTTGCTACAATATGTTCTTAAGCATTTCATCGCTTACCGTTACACTCAAAATTTTAAATATTTTTCAAATGTTATTTTGCAAATTCAAACTCTATTGATCTAACGCAAGAAGACGGCTTCAGGTTCTTGCGTCATCCCAGTAAAGAAGGTTAGTCGAGTTTCAGAGCGAAAATTTTTATTTATGCCTAGTTGTAGTCCTCTGAGCCGGATTTGAACCAGCGACCTATGGATGTCTATGCTTTGAATACTACAGTCCACCGCTCTGCCAACTGAGCTATCAGAGGATGAATATTTCTCTAAGGTGCGAGGATATGTGCCCTTATAGCAAGACAAAAGCAGTCTGCCCTGTGCCATGTATTACCTGAAACAAGATGAAGTGAAGCAACAATATGTGACCTAATTCTTGATGGAAGCATATATGAATATAACGTAATCCAACTAAAGTAGTTGATGTGAAAATGATCACAGTAAGGAAACCGTCAGGTTCACAGGAACCAACTAAAAGTACTTTAACTGTTACGATGGAAGGAGGGAGAGAGTGTACAACTAAGCTGAAAATACTCAGTAATCCTCTCAACGTAACGAGGCAGACATTTCTAATCTCAGATGATCAAATGTACAAAGCCCTTCTCAAAAACGTCAGAGAAGAAATAAAAGCACAACAGTTAGCAAGAATTTCATCAACATAAGTACCGCTACCATAACATATTGAACTACTTACTGTCCTTTCAAAACAATTAATTACTTCAGATTATCTCAAAAGTCTCGTGCACTTACTCTGACTGGTCTCCAGTGCGATAGGTGACATTGAGTTATCACTGACATTTGAATAACGATTGATATTAAGTGAACAGATTTACTTAAGAACGATGAATAAGAAAATAAAAAGATATCAAAACCAACGTTTTCGTTTACGCATCCTTTTGTATTAATATTTTGAACAGCGTAGGTACGTATGTGCTTATGGATGACGCATGACGCAGGCATCTGAAAGATATGCTTAAAAGCATACTGCTTGTATCTGCGGAAACACGCAGAGAGCGGTAAGGCATTGCTCCTTTCGTATGCAACTACCAGTGATCCATCAGCGCCGTTTACGCAATAAAACATAATTCTTAGCAACCATTATCCTCTGAGCCGGACTTGAACCAGCGACCTATGGATATCCACGTGTTGAACGCTACAGTCCACCGCTCTGCCAACTGAGCTGTCAGAGGACGTGAACCATTAGTGCAACCTGTATGTGAAGTTGAATAAATAACTTATTGAACAACACGTTCCCTTCTGTCAGCACTGAAACAGTGAGATATAAATGCTTGCGAAGCCACTATGCCAGTTAGCAAAAGGTAAACAATAACCAATTTCCTGTTTAAAATAAGGCTCAAGTTTAAGGCTTCATCATGTTTTTTGCGTATTCTCACATGTTGCCGACTTATCATTCATACAAATATAAAAGTGAATGTGCGAAGCTTTCGGAAGTATTCCCATTACTATGAATGCACTGAGAATGGGAACGGTCGTTTCCTGAAAGCTTCGCTCCCCAATTTCCACATTTCTGTGAATAATAAATACACAACACGTGACCAAGCCAAAAACATGAAGACCTACAGACTTGTTACAATGCATGCCGTGTTCAACCATGAAGCTTTAATTATTTCGAATAGGGTTGCTTCGAAGTAAGAATAGCAGAACCAATCAGTGTTATGCGGACTGGGAGGCTAAACCTTAAGAACGCTAGAACATACATACATGTTCGTCACTTCTGTGTTACAGTGCCAACAAGCTGTCAGTACTACTGTGAGGCAAAACTTTCACTCTCTGTACACTGATATCCTCTGAGCCGGATTTGAACCAGCGACCTATGGATATCCACGTGATGAACGCTACAGTCCACCGCTCTACCAACTGAGCTATCAGAGGACGTTTTTATGACTTCCTATGAGAAAATACAACGGTTTGTCTAATTCAACAAGAATACTTCGCTGTCTGCCATGAAGCCATCTGACAGGAACACAAATCAGATCGCTTGTACGTCGTTTAGCAATATTATGCAAAACATATTCCCTTATAAGGACAGTTTTCCGTTTAAATCATACGGATTTATAGCCACCGTTGATGAAAAAACGAAGTAAACGAAGAAATATAAGGACAGTTAACGTAATTAGTTAATTCCATACTGTGGCAACAAACAAACTACAACACAAAACTATACTAATTAACGAGTTATAGTCGGTTTTCGTGGTGAAGCGACTATTCACAGCATTCCTGTTTTTTTGCTATTGTATATTCTAAAGCATTTCATTGTTTAGCGTTATACTAAATTTTAAATATTTTTAAAATGGTATCCCGCAAATTCAAACGCGATTTAACAGTCTTCCTCATACTAACGTAGGAAGACGCTTTCAGATTGTTGCATCGTCCCAATACAAAAGATTAATCATTCTTCAGAGGCAAAAGTTTCCATCCTGGCCGCATTAGTCCTCTGAGCCGGATTTGAACCAGCGACCTATGGATATCCACGTTATGAACGCTACAGTCCACCGCTCTACCAACTGAGCTATCAGAGGACGTTTTTATCACATCGTATGAGAAATTATAATAAGCTGTCTAGTTCAACAAGAATACTTCGCTGTCTGCCATGAAACCATCTGATACCATCACAAATCAAATCGGTTTTACGTCGTTTAACAACACTATGCAAAACATGTCGTTTAACAACACTATGCAAAACTATGCAAAACATATGAGGACAGTCAACGTAATTAGTTAATTCCATGCTGTCGCAACAAAGAAACTACAACACAAAACTGATTTTAATATCGCTGAGGACGGGTCACGAGAGACCCGAAAGCTACGGAATAAAAGTTTTACTTTCCAAACGGGACATCCTCCGTAAGAAGAAACAAGTTAATCATAACAACACAAAACTATACTCATTAACGAATTATAGTCAGTTTTCATGGTGAAGCGACTATTCACATCATTTCTGGATTTTTGCTGGTATATATTCTTAAACATTTCATCGTTCATCGTTTACTACAAATTTTAAACATTTTAAAAATGGTATCTCGCAAATTCAAACGCCATTTGACAGTGGTCCTCACACTAACGTAGGAAGACGCTTTCAGATTGTTGCATCGTCCCAATACAAAAGATTAATCAGCTTCCAGAGGCAAAAGTTGCCGACCTGGCTGCATTTTAAGTCCTCTGAGCCGGATTTGAACCAGCGACCTATGGATGCTCACGCGATAAACATTATAGTCCACCGCTCTGTCAACTGAGCTATCAGAGGGTGTTTCCAACATTGTAAGAGGATATATCTTGATTTTAGTAATTGAACAAAAAATACTTCACCCTCTACCGTGAAACCCTCTGATGCGAACACAAATCAGATCAATTTTCAATTCATTTAGCATTCTTATGCAAAACATGTTCCTCTATGAGGACAGCGTACATACTTCATTGCATACAATGGGAGCAGAACAAGTGCAACACAAAGTTATACTGCGTAGTGAATTATTGTCAGTTTTCATGGTAAGGTAACTAATCGCAACATTTCAGTGTTTCTTTGCTACTATATATTTTTAAGTATGTCATCATTTACCGTTATACTCTAAATTTTAAATATTTTTAAAATGGTGTCTTGCAAATTCAAACACTGTTGAATTAACGTATGAAGATGGATGAACCTTCTTGCATTGTCCCAATACAAAACATTAATCGACTTTCTGGGCCAAAAGTGCCATTTTAGCCGTATCATAGTCCTCTGAGCCGGATTTGAACCAGCGACCTATGGATGCCCATGTTTTATGAACACTACAGTCCACCGCTCTGCCAACTGAGCTATCAGAGGATGGAAAGACAGCTTTCTCTTCTCTATTTTTAAGCAGCGAGAACAGATCAAATAAGCTCACATTACTGAACATGTTCAGTTGATTAACTGATTATCATGTGAGCAGTTAAGACGAAGTAGTGCCGCGCAAAATTGCACTAATTAAGGGCCCATAGTCACCTTTGGCCAGAGCGTGCTGACTTTTAAGGAAAGGAAAATTGATTCGTTACTCTTCCAGATTGTATTGTATATTTCCGCAATGTGAAAATGGTACACCATGTAATGGGCGTATGAATTTTCATCATGGAAGCTTACAGTGGGCCCATTTTGTTGAAGAAAACGAAGGAGTAGAAAGTCAGAGCTTTCAGCAGCTCCATATCCTGCCGTTGTGTTTGTTTTTGTTTTCTTCTCCCTTTCAGTGTTTTTTATAGTATCAAGTATCCCCTGTTCTTTGTTTTTATTGCTTTTATTTTGGTCTGCCTTTTCTCTTTTGTGTTTATTGTCTCTTTTATTCTTCCTTCTTCTTCGAGTGAGTGATAGTCCTCTATTGCACGCAATTCTTTCCCTTTGCTCATTCTTTTTATTTCCTCCTGTCTTCTTCCACCCTTTCTTCTTCATGAACTATTATCTAACAACAGGTCAGCTTCTTGGAGGGCAGCTGAGAACTCATATTTAGTTCTGTGTCGTCAGGGTGAACAAAAACAATCGACAATCAGGTTCAGTCTTTACTTACTATAAAGTAATTCACTTCCTCTGAGCCGGATTTGAACCAGCGACCTATGGATGCCCATGTTTTATGAACACTACAGTCCACCGCTCTGCCAACTGAGCTATCAGAGGATGTCAGCCACTCATCTGAAGTTCAACAAACGCTTATCAAACGATACGTTGCCCTCCGTCAGCACTGAAACAGTGGGATGTAAATGCTTTTGAAGTCATTAAGCATATTAGCAAAAAGGTAAGCAATAACTAATTTCCCGAAGACGGGATATCTTGTAACGGGCTTTGGTATTTTCATAATTGATCTTGGATTCACGGCTTTGGCTCATTTTGCTGTGTGTCTGTAAATCGGTGGCAGTCAAAATCCCGAAAGTCGAAATCCCGATAGGTCAAAATCC